GGGGCCGGGCGCCGGTGCGGGGCCGCTGACTGGAGCCCCGTTGTCGGGGCGCGGCCTGCGCGTCGTCCGGGCCTTAGGGCGCTCGTCGCGGTGAACTGGCGAGGAGGAGTGGCGGGGGCGGGGAGGGGGGGGAGGCTGGGGGTCCTCCGCGACCGCGGCCTTAGTGTCCGAGCTAAACAAGGCGAAAGCGAAGGAGGAGACGTACTAGACGGGGTTTTCCGCTCCGCAGCCGTTTCAGCGCTTGCAGCCTAGGGCCTCTGTCGTCGTCGGCCGGGGCGGCGGGGTGGCTCCGGCTCGGGGCAGAGCAGCGGCTGCGGCCGGAGGGAAGCGGGGCGGGCGGGCTCGGGCCTGTCGGGGCGGCAGTGAGGTGGGCCCGGCGGGCCTGCCGCCCGCGGCGGGCGGGAACGTCCTCCGGTCTCTGCAAGACTTGCTGGGGGAGTTTGTGTAGTGGGAATGGTGCTGGACTTTTCGGCTCGAGGCCTGGAGGAGTTCCGCACTGTTTTATTGTATTTAGCAATGCTGAACTCTGCGCTACACCTGCTGGTAACTGCAGCCAGCTCTGTTGATCCGGTCACATAATACAGTTTAATTGTTGCATGTTCTTGCCAGTGTCTTCTCTGGAAAAAAAAAATTACAACAGTGAAGTTTAACCTGCTTAGTGGGGAACGGAGTTTTTAAACAACACCAGAGAATATTTTCTTCATGTTGTAAGATTGTTTCAGGTTTTTTGTACAGCATGTTACATCCTGAACTAAATATCTGAATTTCTTGTTCTGTTTAGTGATACAGGATGCTGTGTGCTTTGGTATTGTGTGCAGTTGTGCTAATAGGGAGTGGTAAAGTTCAAAATGATGAATGGATTGACCCCACGGATATGCTCAATTATGATGCTGCATCAGGAACAATGAGAAGACCTTACAAGGTAGAAAAAGAAAGGGTGCATGAATACGTGTGTCTCCCAAACAGTCCTTCAGCCATACGCTGTTGAAGGATTGTCCTTTAATCATGACATTAGAAAACGATAGAATTACGGTCTTTTTAAGGTCTTACAAGGTTACATCTAAGTCTATACCCAGAAAAGTGTTGTGTGTCCATTGTTAAAATTGCAAGAAAAAAAAAATTAGCAATCTGTGCTATTGTAGATAATTAGCTCAGAGCCTTTTACTGACGAGTTTCTGTTGCACACTGATCAAGTCACAGGAACCATGCTTTTTGTCTTTCCAGAGGTGGTGGCTCCACAAGTTACTTCTCTGAGAAGTACTGGGTTAAGCAGCTTTTGCTTCTCAAGTGTAGTGTTAAGTATCTTGAAAATTAAGCTCCTAGCTGATAAAAGTTGGGGGAATTAAGAGTTAATGATTATATTTTACTTGAATTACCGAGTTCCCTAGTTATTACTAGGAAATAAACTCCATTTATCGTGTGAGAGTATTATGGAAGTCAGTGGTGTTTTGTAATGCTGGGCATCAGAGTTTCCAGAAGGAAGATCAGAATAGGGATTGAGTGCTGTACTGTTAATAATTCGTGAACATTGAGGAGAATATGAAATAGGAATAGCTAATTTTAACAAGGTTAATCATCTCGTTTGTCTTGTTTGGGAGGTGGACTCTACACATATTGTGAGATGCATATTGTTTATCCAGTACGTATGTGCACACATGGCAGTGTAAACTGTGGTTTGTTGTACAGGCACCCTCTTCAGCTATCAAGTTTGGTTTTGCAGTCTTGAATAATGCCTTTTAATGCTCAGAGCATTCTATCTCTACAGAGTTTCTCCTCAGCCTCCACCTGCCCCAAGCCCACTTGATAGTTATTAGCTAGGAGTTTTACTGTTTTCTCCCACAAAAACAGAACTGCATCTTAAAGGAAAAAAATGACTGCTTTGGATTAATCCATTGTTTCAGGATTTCTTTTCTGTTCTGCCCTGAGAGATTTTAGGTAGGTAGGCTGTGTGGGCCACCTGAGTCCTCAAAAACTCAGCTTGAGTTCACCGATTTGTGTGATGTTACATGTCCTTTTGGAGACTTTCCTCAATGTGCATACCTGGTTGTGTAGAAGCAGCACTGCTAAAACTAAGTCTGAGCAATTAACAGAAAAATGGGATGTTTCAGAGTGAAGAGGGAACACGAAAGGCAAGGCATGCAACCCAGAATGGGGTTTTGTGTTTACTTTCGGTCTGGCTGGCTGCATGGCCAGCTAGACTGGAAAATTGTCTGGCTGAAAACTGCCCCTTTGCTTGCTGAGTCAGTTTTTAGCCAGTCCAATTATCTAATCTGATGCACAGGGTGGCTCACCAGCACTCAGGGGAGGGGAAAGGGCAGGTGGGGAAGGACAGGGCAAGACCTCACCTTCTGAAGGCAGCATGCATTTAGATTAACTTAAAGCAGTTGTCCGTTTGGAGTCGAAAATAACAGCAGAGAGGCGGCTAGAGTATCGTTGAGACAGTATTAGCAGCAAAGACCAACACTCAGCTTTTAGCTCCTTTGCTCCTTTTAAAGTGATCTGACTACAGAAGTGTAACATGGCATATTGATCAAACTTTTTGATTCTAAAAATATGTGCTTTTTCTTATGTAATTTTAGGCAAACTATCATGACTCTGAGGATAAGACTGTGGATACAGTCAGTACTGAAATCTTATCAAGTTGTTCCAGGGAAGTAGATTCCTTGCAACAGAAGGTTTGTTATGGAACTTCAGAATATTTTCCAGCTTTTAATAGGTTGTGCTTTCAGATGATGCTTTTCTGGACAGTGTAGAACAGGTGAATTGCTGACATAATTTGTGAGAGACCATGCATTATGTATGGGGAACCTCTTTATTCAGAGGGGGGACTGGAAGTAGTTGGAACTCAACTCCAAATTGCTGCTCCGCCCGTAGCGCAGCAGAAGTTGATAGGAGCTATGTGCTTCTGTCCAGTTGTCACCGACACATAGTGTTGATGTTAGACCATGCTGCCAAAAGCTAAGAAATCTGATCTTTCGTTTTCAAGTTGTTCAGTTCTGTTGGATTTTAAGGGGTGGGTTGTGGCTGACCATAACATGCAATGCTGCAGCTCTCGGGAGTGGCTGTAAGATCCTTATGCTGCTGCTTCCTCTGAGTTCAGGAGGATGCGGTGATGTTTGTGTAGCTACTGGGGCTCCTGCTTCCCTCAGCCATTTGGAGACCCAATGGGATATGTAATTTTAATGTTGTTTTAGTTACTTAGTATTTTTTACAGTTCCTTTTTTTCTTTTTGTTTTCCCTTAGATGTAAACTTAAAATTTAAGGAGATCCAGATTTTTAGTTTTTTCTAGACTTAGTGAGGTTAGTATTCAAACCATATTATTAGCAGATCTGAAATCTACAGGACTGGCCAGTCCCATGGAAAGTAGTATCTTCAGCAACTGCATAGGCTTTTTATCTGGTGTACTAATCACAGGGTTGTTGCTAAACTAAAGAAATGTGTCTCTGTTAATCCTGAGTTTAATGTGTTGGTAGGGTTTTTGTCTCCTACGAACAAGCTGGTTTCAGCAAGAAGCGAGTAAAAGTGTCTTTACATTGCAGATTGCAGATTGTGAGAAGAGGAATGCCAAATCACGTGAAAGTCGTAGCTTTTATATTTTTAAGCGATACTTGAATAAGATTTTAAATGAAGCTGGAAAACTTGGCCTTGTGAGTATTTGAACAGTCATTAAAAATTATTTAGAATTCATATTACTACTTTATGTGTTTTTCACAGTTACCAAGTATTGATTAATTATTCTGGCATATTTTAAATTTAAATTAAAATGAAGGGAACTGAATTGCAAAGGAAAAAATGACAGAAGTATGCATATTTGGTATTGCTGTTAGTTAGCAGTATTTGCTCAGGAGAGACAGTTGCCATTTGACCGGTACAGCATCGAAAGGAAGATGATGTGAATTCAGAGTATGTATCTAAATATCTGTTGCTGGGATGCAGCTATAGTAATACCCTGTTCAGTTCATGTTAATGGTTGTTAAACTTGAAAGACCCAGATTTTGTTTGTTTGTTTGTTTGTGGTAGACTTTTTAGGCCTTTGTTTAAGACTCTACCACATTAACCATCTAGGAACAGTAGCTTATTAGAGTTTGCATATAAGAATCACCTTATTACTTTCTTTATTATATTGTCTTTGGATAAATTTTTTTTCTATTCAGAGGTAGAGGAATAAATTTTTAGCAATAAGCAAAATTCATATCTAATGAAGATTATACTTAGTAATGTAAAATTTCTTATTTCAGTATTTAATAGCTTCTATCTGTATTACCCAGCCATGATTGGGGCACACATAGCGCATTCATAATTATTACTTGTTAATGAGAACTGGTTCTAAAATTTCAATAACAGGTGAGATAATTCATATTTTAGGTTATTGCTGTAGAACTGAAAGGGTACAAACCAGTTGAATTTGTGTTTTATGTAGTTTAGAAGAATGAACAAAAAGGTTATAGAATCATAGTGTGCTCCCTGTCCCATGTCTTCATCCTGCAGTCTGCTTCAAAAAGGTGCTGGTGCATAATGAGGATATATAATCAGGTTTTTGCCTAGGGATACAGTTTTTCACGTGTACTTCTATTTCCAAATAAGCAGCTTTTAACCATTGTTTCACTTTGCTTTTAATTCAGCCTGAGGAAAACATGGGCCACGTCCATTATGATGCTGAGATCATCCTTACAAAACAGACATATTTGGAGATCCTCAGGTTTCTCAATGAGGAAACTTGGCAGTCAGGTGCCGTGGATGATGCACTTAGTGATATTTTGATCAATTTTAAGCACCATGATTACAAAGCTTGGCACTGGAGATTTGAAGACACTTTTGGAATTGACCTATATAATATGTTTCTGGTAAGAGAAGAAGATAGGTTTTTTGTTGTTTTTTTAATTGCTGGGTTTTCCAGTTTCTTTGTGCAAATCTAGTCAATGAAAATTACCGTTGTAACTCCACACGTAAAGCCGTTCTTTCCATCGTACTTAGCAGTGAGTCACTCTTTTTGTTTCATGCTGAAGGTAGAGATGATATATTCACTTGAAGTAAGAATTCAAGTTTTTTATTTCTGTGGTCATCTTCTGTTATTGTAGATTTGTGGGGTTTTTTCTGGTATGCTTTCTTTTTTCTCTTCCTGTCTTTTATATCTGTGTTGCATGACTCATTAGACTCTAGTACTTTCTTACCACTTAAACTGACAATTTGTGCATTCTAAATTTTCCAGATTTGTCTCCTCAAATAGATGTTGAAGCTGTTGGCTTCTGCAGGAGTTGGAATATATTCATATTGAGACAAGTATATATTTGAGGTCTTACAGGTCAGAGGGTTTTGTGAATTTTGTGGGAAAAAAAATGTATAGTGTTGGAGAGAAGGAGAGCATGACTATGTGAAAATGTCGTATTCTCTAAAATGGAGTTACAAAGTGCTAAGCTGAGGATCTCTCATTAGCTGAAGCTCTCTGAATAAATTTTTACAATTCAGAATATGCTAACATTTTATGCTGACATGATCTTGAAAGTAGCCTGTCTGGTTTTGAGGGGGGTCCATGGAAGCCAAATGAAAAAAGCAAGCTGTCAGTAGTGTTAACCTCGCTGTTAGGGGTTGTCATATGGAAAGAGACTGTGAAGTGCTTCTCTGAAGTCTTGCTGCTGTTAGCCAGACTGTAACTTTGTCTCTTAACCAAACTGCAGGAGCTGACAGCAGCAGTTCTGTGGTTCATACCAGGCATGTATTACTCAAGCACTGAATTACACCAGTTTTAAAGTATGGTAGGAAATGTGATAAATACCATAAAGAAGAAATAACTAAACATCACAAGAAAGAAACTAGCAACTGCAACGTAAGGCTGTGATAGGAATGACTACTAGTAATACCATAAAACTTTTCTGCCTTGTGCTGCTGGAGATAAGCTGTGAAAGGAAGGAAGAATTCTCTCAACTGTTCTCTGTAAATGACACTATTAAAAACAAAAGTTTTCCTTCATGTGTACTGGCAGTGAGCTTGGAAAATTCCAAATCTGGATCATAATTTTTTCCTGTTTCTTTTTCAGATACTCTTGTGCTTAGTGTGCATTGTAACTGTAATAGCTACAGAGCTCTGGACACATATTCATTGGTTTGTTCAGCTAAAACGTGTTCTATTAATAAGTTTTTTCATCAGTTTTGCATGGAATTGGCTTTACTTGTATAAGGTAAGTTGTTCTGAAATCTTAATGGCTTTTAGGCTTAAAATTTTACAGTTATGAGGGAGTTAAGGTTATTTAGTTCCTTTAGTTAGTCTATATAAAGCAATACTTGGCCACAAAATAAATAGAGATAAATGTTTTATTTTGCATGTTGACAGGTGTATTAGCTTAAAGAACAAAAGAAACCCTGCCAACTTTTATCCTGCTGCAGAGGCAGGATAAAATATTCATAAAGCAGTAGAGCTGTGATTTCACTGCGTGGGCAAGGGAGATGTGAACTCTGTCTAAATCAGCTTGGTAGATGTCATGGTTTAACCCCAGCCAGCAACGAGGCACCACGCAGCTGCTCACTCACTCCCCCCCACCCAGCAGGATAGGGGAGAGAATCAGAAGGAAAAAGGTAAAACTCATGGGTCGAGATAAGAACAGTTTTAATAGAACAGAAAGGAAGAAACTAATAATGAAAATAATAACAATAATAAAATGGCAACAATAATAATAATAAAAAAATTGGAACATACAAAACAAGTGATGCACAATGCAATTGCTCACCACTCGCTGATCAATGTCCAGCCAGTTCCCAAGCAGCGATCCCCCCCCAGGCCAACTTACCCCAGTTTATATACTGGGCATGCCATCACATGGTATGGAATACCCCTTTGGCCAGTTTGGGTCAGCTGCCCTGGCTGTGTCCCCTCCCAACTTCTTGTGCCCCTCCAGCCTTCTTGCTGGCTGGGCATGAGAAGCTGAAAAAGCCTTGACTTAGTTGTTAAGTAGTGTTTACACTGAAAACATCAGTGTGTTATCAACATTCTTCTCATACTGAACCCAAAACATAGCACTATACCAGCTACTAGAAAGAAAATTAACTCTATTGCAGCCAAAACCAGGACAGTAGAAAAGTCTTGTGAAAATATATTGTGGGGAGAGTTTTGTCTTTCTTAAGATTTCCTGGCTGAAACTGTATTTAATGTGTGATAGACTGGAGATAAATGTTTCATTAATGGTGATACAGTAGCTGACTGTACAATGGTATTGGTTTTAATGAGGAGGAATTTATGCTCCTAGGTCATAGCTCAACCCCAGAATCTTGGTCCTCGCATCTTGTCATCAGAATTTAACTGCAGCTTGTCAGAGCCAGGAATAGCACAGTGCCAGAGAGTAGGATGGCTCTTGGAACATGAGTGGACTGCCATGCGGAGGACTCAATCTGAGTCAGTCTGCTTTTCAACAGATTATTTGACTTAATTTTTTCTATTTAATTATCCGTTGCAAACCGTAAGGCAAAATTATTATGAATACAGGTATTTGTTCATGGGAATTATTTAAAAAATAAAAGAGAATGTCCTGATGCTTTAATTAGTAATTGCATGGCAGCCATCTCTGGTTTTAATCCAGAAACATTTTAAGGAAACAAGATCTCATCAGATTACTTGTGCCCTGAACTTGTATCTTTGAATATTGGAGTTCGCTCTTTCGGCAATTCAGACTCCATTTGCAGAGCAACTCAGAGGTGGCCATCTTGGTAGTTTTTGTCCATTCCCAGGAAGTACTGAGAATTTAACTCTGTTAAATTGTTTAGTAGCAAACTTTTCTTAGTACAAATTTACCTGGATAATTATCCCAAGCCTGCTAAGAGCAAACGTCATTAGCTCAGGTGCAGTGCTGCATGGATGTAGGTGTTCTGCTCCCAGCACCACCTTGTCTTATGTTTTACAAATAATTCCTATTCTCCTGCAGCTGTCCTTTGCGCAGCATCAAGCAGAAATTGCAAAAATGGGGCAGTTTGATAACGTCTGTGCTGAGAAGTTGGACTGGGGAGAAAGTCTTATTGGTAAATACTTGTTTTGTTATTTTGTAATAGTATTTAAGATGACAAAATACTCAGTAATAGTATCCAAGAATACTCTTATTTCTTCATGAGTAGCACATTGAATTTTCTTCAGCAATACATGATTATGTGGTTTTACCATTTTTCTGGTCCACCAAACTTCCTTTTCTAGGCCTTTGAAGGAGAGCTGATTACAGAACTGTGCTTAGAGCAGGTCATGGTGTTACTTCTTTTCCTTATAACTTACTCTGTGACTGCTTCCCCAGCTGCCCTCCCCAGTATCATTCAGTGCCATTTACTGAAGATAGGAGGGCAGAATTCAAGAAAAAGATTTTTTTTTTAATTATTTTTTTTATCAGCAAGGCCTACAGTACAGTGGACTTCAGAAATTAGATCTGTAACTACTTACTCTAGTGGTTTTATTTTACAGAGAAAGCTGAATTTTTTAATTAGCTGTTACTTGTTATCCAGTGCTATAGCAGGTAAATTAATGATGACAACTCTTAATGAGTTCTTGTTATGGTCTTCCCTTTACAATTTATTGGCTGTTATTGCTCTGTTTATGTCAAATTTCAATGGTTTATGTTCTGACTGCACTAAAATCAAACTACAGAAACACTGATATCATAAATTACTTGTTTATAACTTAGAATTTCCCTTAAGGAGTAAGACTTTCTGCCTGTAACTAAAATAGTCCCTTGAAATCTAGCAAGCAAAATAAACATTTTTTTATCTACTTGCAGCCTGGCAGATAAGTAATAACACTCAATTACCTCTATTTCAGTAGCTGTGGACAAAATGTGCTAGATAAATCTCGTCTGTGAGAACTACTATTTCTCTTCTGAGGCTTCTAGGGACTAAATTCATCTAATAAAGAGAACTTTCTTGACCGAACATGGGAAAACCTCAGTTTCTTTTCTTTCTTTCCAGCCTTCCCTTCCATTCCTTCCAGCATCCCCATGACTGGATAAACTACACTGCCAAGCTAATCATCTCAGTTAAAAATAAATCTGAGCTTTGAACCATATCTAGAAGAGTTCTTTTCCATCTATAATTGAAATGCTACTTTCTGTATTACTGCTGTGTCATAAAATGTGTTTTTAAAAAGTAGTAAAAATAGGTCTCTGCTTTGACTACAGAATGGCTCAGAAGTAAATGGACATTTCAGGACGATCCCTGTCAGAAGTACTATGAAACTCTACTAGTAAATCCTGTTTTGCTGGTTCCACCGACAAAGGTATATATATGCCAAGCCTAAAGAGACTGTTCATGTTTATGTTTGTAATCAGTAACAACACTATTTTTCTATTTGTATTTTTCTAGGCATTGGCAATTACTTTCACCAACTTTGTAACTGAGCCTTTGAAGCACATAGGACAAGGTATTGGTGAATTCATCAAAGCACTAATGAAGGAGATACCATTCATTCTGCAGGTTCCAGTGCTTATTATGATGGCTCTGGCTGTTCTGGTTTGTATACATTTATCTTATATTTAAAAGCTCAGTTTTGTTTTTTTTTATATATTAAACTTACTTATATTTAAGTATTATTATCTATTATATTATTTATTTCTTATTTGTACTAGTGAACAGATTTCTTAGCACAGATGAAATTACTTCTACAAGGGAATTTTTTCTTGACAAAATCTTTATAGTACTGTTGGTTTAGCAATTAAAATAGGTTAGTTTGTATTTAAACCACATCTCTCCCCCACTCCCCAAGTGGGATAAAATAGCATTAAACTGCTTAAAATCTTAGGCTCTGTGACAGTTTATTGCAGCTTAGTTCCCATTTCTTTGTTGTGTCATTACACAGCAATGCATATAATTGGCATTTTATACATGGAAACATTGAGTTAAGAGCCTTCAACATCTTCATTGTAGCACCAAAGATGAACTATATCCAGTCTGGCAGTTCCTGCAGTGTGGTCAGACTGTAGAAAGCTTGAATTTTACTGTAGCCATTCTGAACACCTGAGCTTTTCTTTCAGTGTTTTTCAGCTATGTGACTTCGAATTCTGTGTGAAAACTGTAGGCTGCAAATATTTGGTATTTTGTTCTTTTTTTTTTTTTTCTTTCTTTCTTTCTTCCCTGTCCCCAGGCTTTCTGCTATGGTGCAGGATCATCAGTGTCTGTGTTAAGATACTTAACATCTTCTCAGAAGAAAAGTCTTCCTCCACCCAACAGTCAACAGGAGAAAATAGCCTTTGGGCAATATGATGGGAGTAAATCAGATGGCTATTATTTGCAGAAGCTTCCTTATGTATATGGAGGACCTTACGACAGAGGAGATGCTCCTGTGAGACCAGGAAATGGCAGAAGTCCTAACATCGTGCATACAAGCCATGAGCCAGATACGCAAGTAGAAGAGTCTCACAAACCCGAACCTGGTGTATGTTAGTCCTGGTGCTCTTTGAGCTGGGATTAAATTTAATAGATTTCAATGATGTCATCTGCTAGAACATGTTTAAACAACAAGCTTAAACTAAATCTTGGGGAGAGAGGAGTTAAGGAAGTACCTGCTCCCCTATAGAACAGTTCAGTAGAGGTATCTATCTTGGGTGTGTTTTGTTCTGGAAAAATACTGTGCAATGGCTAACTGTGGCAGGACACTACTGAGTTAAAAATCTTCTTTTATAGTAAAGACTTAAGTAACTTCTGTTTTGAGAGATCAATAATTATGTCAGCCTGGGCATAATGATTACCCACAGAGGAAAAGCAGGGAGAAGCAGCAGTGTTGACGTTTCTGTAAAGTATAGAAAATCAAAAATGGTCTTATACTCTAGATGGTGCTTATGTACATGATTCCCAGGAGAAAAAGATACCAGTCATGCTTTGGGGGAGTTCTGCCCCTTGAGCTGAGATGCATCTGAAGCAATAGATGCCATCACTTTGGATTGCTTGATTAATAGCTTATTATTAATTTTTACAGAATAGATTGCACACTGAGTCAGAAGTTTGTAGACTAGAAACTATCACAGCTGAAAACCTTACTGAAGAACATGCACTTGAGCAGCAGAAACAGGAGACAGGCAAAGCAGAGCAAGAGACTGGAGAAAACTGTGATCCTAATAAAAACCTAGACGGGAAAAGTTCTGCAGTGGAACCACGTGAAGAGAAGAAAAAGAGCAGTTCATGTCACTCAGAGGAAGGAGACTAAGGAAGCCCAAAGCTCTGCTGTAAGTTCTGTCTAATCGTTGCTTGTCATGTACTTGCTAGTTCTGCTCTAGTTCTCAAATGTAGAAAATCAAGCATCAGTAAGCTGATGGGAACTCATCTTTGGTCAGATAGTAATCATAAGGTAAGTAGAGTTTTAAAAGCTGAGAGACTGAGTGTACGTACTACTTCTGGAATGTGAAATAAATATCTTAAGTAAAGTAAGATAGTACAGCATTTAAGTGGCCAAGGAAAGAGGCTTGTGGGCTGTTGCTGCTTGTTTGAAATCAAGTTTGTGTAATAAGTTTTGAGTAAAACTAGATACTCAGTGAGGGGAAAACACTGCTACTCTGTGATCTAGCAAACATAAGCCTAACAAGTTAACTGTCAAACAGCCTGAAGAAAGTTTCTGATATTCATGTAATTCACATAAGACTAATCGCAGCTCAAATGGATGTCTCAGGACTATCATGTTTTGTTTTACACTCTCTAAAATCAGTTTGCTGCTTGTCAGCTCAGTTTTAGGACAGCTTGATGATTGTCTTCTAGTTTAATAATTTGTAGAGGAGTGAGAAGCTGATGTTGTATCAGATTTTTTTAGGGCAATTTAAAGCTGAATGGGGAGTAGGAAGCACTAAGTAAAAGTACCCAAGCTCAGCACAATAAACTGATGGTAGCACATGGTTTTTGTAAGAATATTCTGGCATTTCTCTGCAAAAGCAGAAGGAGGACAGTTTTAGTTGCAGCAGGATTCCATTTCAGTGCTAAAAAAGCTGCAAGAGAATGTTTGTAAAACTTTCAAGTAACTGTAAAATAGTTTGAATTAACTATTCCTACAATGCCATTTTACTCTGAAGCTAAAATTAACTGTAGATTCTTCTCTAGGGGTATGATCATAGAATCATTTAGGTTGGAAAAGACCTTCAGGATCATCGAGTCCAACCATCAACCATGCCCACTAAACCACGTCCCGAAGTACCCCGTCTACTTGCTTTTTTAATCCCTCCAGGGATGGTGACTCAACCACATCCCTGGGCAGCCCATTCCAATGTCTGACAACCCTCTCAGTAAAAAAAAAATTCCTAATATCTAACCTAAATCTCCCTTGCCTCAACTTGAGGCCATTTCCTATCTCCAGCCACCTGACAGAAGACACCAGCACCCACCTCACTACAGCCCCCCTTCAGGTAGTTGTAGAGAGCAATAAGGTCTCCCCTCAGCCTCCTCTTCTCTAGACTAAACAGCCCCAGCTCCCTCAGCTGCTCCTCATAAGACTTGTGCTCCAGGCCCCTCACCAACTTCATTGCCCTTCTCTGGACATGCTCCAGCAACTCAATGTCTGTCTTGTAGTCCCAAAACTGAACACAGTACTCAAGGTGCGGCCTCACCAGTGCCGAGTACAGGGGAACAATCACCTCCCTGCTCCTGCTGGCCACACTATTTCTGATACAGGCTAGGATGCCATTGGCCTTCTTGGCCACCTGGGCACACCGCTGGCTCATATCCAGCCGGCTGTCAACCAGCACATCCAGGTCTTTCTCTGCTGGGCAGCTTTCCAGCCACTCTTCCCCAAGCCTGTAGCGCTCCATGGGGCTGCTGTGACCCAAGTGCAGGACCTGGCACTTTGCCTTGTTGAACTTCATACGACTGGCCTCAGCCCATTGATCCAGCCTGTCCAGATCCCTCTGTAGAGCCTCCCTACCCTCAAGCAGATCAACCCTGCCTCCCAACTTGGTGTCATCTGCAAACTTGCTGAGGGTGCACTCGATCCCCTCATCCAGATCATTGATAAAGATATTAAACAGAACAGGGCCCAATACTGAGCCCTGGGGAACACCACTTGTGACCCACCGCCAACTGGATTTCACCCCATTCACCACAACCCTCTGGGCTTGTCCAGCCAGCCAGTTTTCCACCCAGCAAAGAGTACACTTGTCCAAGCCATGAGATGCAAGCTTCTCAAGGAGTATGCCATGAGAGAGAGTGCAAAGGCCTTGCTGAAGTCCAGGAAGATGACATCCACAGCCTTTCCCTCATCCACTAGGCAGGTCACCTGGTCATAGAAGGAGATCAGGCTGGTCAAGCAGGACCTGCCTTTCATAAACCCATGCTGACTGGGCCTGAACCCCTGCTTGTCCTGGACTTGCCACATGAGTGCTCTCAAGACATACTGTTCCATAATCTTCCCTGGTACCGAGGTCAGGCTGACAGGCCCATAGTTCCCCGGATCCTCCCTCCGAGCCTTCTTGTAAATGGGAGTCACATTGGCAAGCCTCCAGTCCTCTGGGACCTCCCCTGTTGACCAGGATCGCTGATAGATGATAGAGAGTGGCTTGGCAAGGACCTCCGCCATTTCCCTCAGTACTCTTGGATGGATCCCATCAGGTCCCATAGATCTGTGAGTGTCCAGATCCTCCTGGATTAAGGGGGGTATGTTCTGCTCTTCATCCTTACCTTCCAGCTCAAGGGGTGGAGTACCCTGAGGATAACTGGACTCACTATTAAAGACTGAGGCAAAGAAGGCATTAAGTACCTCGGCCTTTTCCTCATCTCTGGTTGCTACGTTCCCTTCTGTATCCATTAAGGGACAGATATTCTCTTTGGGATTCTTTTTACTGTTAACATATTTGTAAAAAACATTTATTGTTGTCAATTAAAAGATGACATCATTTATAAATACCTGAAGTGAACAGCTTGCCACGTTTGGTGTTAAAATCGGTGGCTTCTAAGTCAAGATACCTACACTGAAAAACATACAGCCCTCAGGGTTCCCCAAAACAACCTCAGTACAGGTATCTACTGAGGGGAAGACATTAAGTTACAACTGTTGTTCCCAAGAACTACCCCAGCATAGCACATACCTATCAAGAGAAGTAGTTGAGGTCAAGTAATAAGCAGCATACATACATTCACTGTAACATTTTAAATTCAATTCCTGCAGGAATTACCTGACATCCGTGGTAGTTCATGCCAAGTACCTACCAACCCTGTGATTCCCTGGTGCATGGACTACTACTGGTGGTGGACATGTACCACACAATCTATAGAACAGCATGGGCAGCTGTTGCTTAAAAACAAGTATATCTTCTTAAAAAATTCTTCTTCTGATATAGGAAACACTTACCTGAATATCACCAAAAAAACCCAGCATGTTTTGAGTAGACTATTTTTGTATTAAACAGAATTAAAATTAGGGTTTGATTTTTTAGATTTTTTTTTAGTATGTTTGTTTCTTCCAAACTGTGTTTCTGCAAAGACAGATTAAGTACTGAAACTATTTTTCTTTTTTTTTATTATTTTTTTAATTTTTATAAAAAGTATAAAAGAAGACAGGACCTTTTTCCAGGGAGGTACAAATCAGAAAAAAAAAGTTTTCCTTAAAAAGAACATACAAATTTAGGTCTTGTGCTAGATGGAGACAGTGGTAGAATCTACACATCAGTAATGAGAATACCTTCACAGGGAAAAAAATGGGTATTAATGTTCATAGACTAGAGGCAGTTAAGAGGGAGATACAGTAATTCGTATCTCGGGCACCGCTAAAAGCAGCTGCCAACTGCAAAGAGCAGCGGCAGCTCTAACTACTGGTCACGAGTGTGATGCTGCTGCTATTTATACAAAAAATTATTAGAAAGGGGACAAAGCTATTAACAGCAGTCTTCTGTAAAAAGGCATGTTATGTTTTTCTAGCAAACAAAGATGATACCTAAGATGCTACTGTACAGTACGCGCCTGTTTCTTTCTTCAGCTAGAATTTGGTCCCTTTATAGTCGAGGGCAAATGGACTCTTTGTTCATCCATTCTCTTAGCTTGTGATCGTAAAATTAGGCTGAAAAAATCCTCATCTGGTACAGTTGGTCCTTTTGCAGATGATGGAGGAGCACATCTTTGATCATCCAGTCTGGACCCCTACAGACAGACCAAGCAATAAAGCTGCATATTTACAGGAATATAAATAATAAAATAAGTTAACAATGTAAGTGAAAAATTACTAAAAGCCTTTGTTTTCAGATTTAAAGCTATTACAAGGATTTAATTTGTAAGTTTTGTTTCAGGTTAAACTTCTGAAATGAAATCAGTAAGGTAACAGTGCAACTATAGCTAAAATGGTTCCTCCAAACCACTTGTCCACATGTATCTGAAAAAAAAAAACAAAAACAAAAAAAAAACAACCCAATTTAGTTCTTGTTCATATTGCAGAATAAGATTTAAGTGTCCTTTGTCCAGAAGAAGAATTTTAGCATTAGTACATGGTAGTTCTAGTCTCATCCAACAGAAAATATGGTTGGCTTCCTTTCCTTGTACAGGGAGTAAAAAATGGCCACACTGGTGTCAGATTTGGAGAGGCAATATTGAGAGGAAGTTTTCCTCCAAACTGAAAAAAAGACTGGTACATTTTACTCACAATGTTACAGAGCAGTTGGCTAACACCTCTGAGAGAGTTTCTGTGCTCCTTTAACACAGCTATCCCCTCCTGGTCAGTTTTTACAAGCACCAGCCTATCACACCAGGTCTGGCTGTGGACTGCAGCCATCGACAGTAGCGCCTTTGCTTGAGCAGGGAACTAGTATTTCTCAGCTGAGCTAGCTGGAGGGGAATATGGTCACTTCAGGAAAAGCAAGGCTTCCAGTGCCGGATAGACCTTAGACAGAGCCAGCTTTGACACAAAAATTCTCAGAAGTCAGCTACCCTTTTCTGCTTGTTTAAAGCAGTAGCAGCCCTAATTAATTGAGGGGATTAAATTTTTCCATTCCTTTCTCAATAAGCACAGTCAGTCATTGTGTTACGTTTGCTACATATAGTGCACATGCAGAGACATGCATTAATATGATAGAAAATATATCGTACTAATTTCCAGATTCTTCGCTTGACTCAAAGAAGTAAACAGACAAGCTGCTAAAACAGCATGCTATCTCATCAGGTTGATGAACACTGTCATTGTAGACTCAATTCCTGGTGCTGCTTCCCACCCAAGCTAACATACTTACTTACCTTTGGAGAACACAGTATCTGAATTTTGTATTTTGAGATTGTTATCAACCCATCAGGTAAAACACCAAGTCTTTTTAATTAAATTCTTTTTGGTCTAACTGGTGTATATATACACCATGCTCTAATTGACAATCAGACACCTCATTTGTATATTGCTACAAACTACTATTTAAACTTCATATAATTGGAATGGTGATTACTATCACCACTGAAACTCTGGTACTAAATTCTTTCATTTGATGAGTTAGGATTCTTGGTATATCATATGCCCTCCTAACAAGCCAGATCTAAACACTTCTTTTTTCTTAAAATCATTTTACATACTCCTTTTAATAGCCTCACTTGTTTTCCTTCACTTTTTCAGCATTTGTTACTTTAAATGGTTAACATGGTATAAATACCAAAATTACACTTACTAGACACTGGATAATGGGGGGGGGGGGGGGGGGGGG